CCCCCTCCAAGCTCCAACCCTGCCCCCCGGGCAGGAAACGTAAACCCAGCAGCCAGCGCATCCATCCCTGCAGTGTACCCCGGGGCAAGCCCCTCACTCTGCTCCCTGCCCATAAAGCAAAGCCAGTGCTGCCCACCCATAGCACGGGTGGCACCAGGGACCTGCACCCGCGGTGAGCAGAGCCTGCCCACCCCAACACCCCACCTTCCCTCCCAGCCCAGCCACCCACCCGCCTGCAGCGGTAATGGCCCTTCTGGCCACGCTCCAGAGCAGCAGGGCAAGGTAATGGCTATCGATCCAGGACAGTGAACAGAGCAGCTTCCCGGGGGCCTGGGGCAGAGCAGCCCCAGCCAGGCATGGCAAGAGACAAGGGCTGCGTCACAGCAAGGCTGGGAGTGCCACCGACCCTACGGGTGCCAAAGCAAGGGGGTCTGCACGCCCCGGGCTGGCACGCTGCCCTGCAGAGGGGGATGGCAGTCTGTCCCCCAGCAACAAGGCCAGCCAGCTTGGCACCCACAGCCCAGCCCAGGTATGGGAACTGTGGACAAGAGGCTGGAGGAAGCCAGCTGTGTCAACAGCTTCCCTTGATAGCACCGCCTGGTAACAGCCACAGAGCCTCGCAAGTGAGGCAACTTCAAAGCGCAATGCCGTGCCCACAAAATACTCTTTGTCTGGAGTAGGTATGTGGCGGCACAGCCCCAGACTGCAGCCAGGAGCCCTCTGCCACAGCAAAGGCCCCAGGACTAGCCACCCCAGGACACCCCAAGAGCCAGCTTTTGGCCCTCGCCTGCCCCATGACTGCAGTTGGCAGTCAGCAAAGAGGGACAAGCAAAGCACTACACAGGAAAGGAGGTGCTAGACAAACAGGTGAAAGCCCCAGAGATAAGCACACACTGGGGTCAGGAAACTGGAGTGAGCATACACAGGCAAAGATAACTTTGCATCAGAGGCATCTGCACCTGTACAGCCATGACCTGGCTGCCTGGTGCCACTGGGCACCCGCAGACTTAGGCTTGCGCCCTCCCCTGAACCCTGACACTGCTGGGCTGCAGGCAGCCATGCCAGGCTTTGCCCCCTCATTATTTTTAGACCTTCAGGCATGAGCCCCAGGGAGACCCAGCCCCTGGGAGAGGGAGAGCTGCTGGCCCACCCCGCTGACCCGCTCGGCATGAGAGCCCTCATCCAGGCAGCAGAGCAGCCGAAACCATGAGCTCAGAGCTGGAGAACGGCTGGCATCTGGGGCTGGCATGAGGCACACATCCCTCCCACCCATCCACTGCCCTTGAGGAGGTGGACATGGACACTGCCGCTCCCACCCTGCCTGGAACAAGGGCTCACTGATCCCCACCTCCTCCGGGGCAGGCTGGATACTAGCCCTCTCCTGGGCTGGAAAGATCACCCAGCGACACTGCAAGTGTCTCCAGCACACAAGGTCCCTCACAGCCCTGGGGACACAAGGCTTCCACCTGCAGCTCCAAGACCCCCACAGCCTGCTATGTGCATGGGCAGACTAGAGAGACACTGGGCACAGGCACTGCAGGCTCTGGGGACATGGCAGTCCTCCCTTGTGCCCAGCATGGCTGCAGGCACCAGGTTGGTGAGGGAACCTGGGCAGGGCTGGAGACCCGGAGCAGCCCAGCGGCACAGCCGAGCTCCAGCCTGCACCGTGCACCGCAAGCGCGTGGCACAGCTCCAGCAGGAGACCTAGAGATTTAGAGACGACGTCTGAAGCAAGCAAGCAAGGAAGGGAAGAGAGGAGAGCCCCAGTGCCTTTCCATCTGGCTGGCGGACAGCCGGCCGGCAGCCAGAGCTCCACAAGAACAAAGATTTGCTTTTAGAGCTGAGGAAGGGGGTGGGGAGTAGCACAGCCCATCCGCCAGCCTCCTGTGGAGCAGAGGTGTGTGGAGAGCCGTAAGGAGCACGGCTGCGGCGGTAGCATAGAGCCCCCAGCACAGAGCCCCCAGCACGGAGCAGAGAGAGGAGAGGCACCACAGGGGTCTGGAGCCACACATGGGATGCCTGAGGTTTCTGTGCGTTTCTGTTCCTTTCTCGGGGAAACCAGCTGCTGCCAGAGCCTGCCTGCTCCCAGCACATGCACACATTCTGCCCTCCTCTGCCCTGGCAAGGCCACCATTCCTGCACAGATCCCTGAGATGGGATGGAGCAAGGTCACTTGCACCCCTTCATCCTCACAGAGAGGAGACAGTGCAAAGCCCCAGCCTTGCAGCAAGCAACACCACCGCCAGCACCCTACAGCCTCCGCCCCAGCCCAGCCCTCGCTGGGGAGGGAGCCAAGGCTCTCCTGCAGCAGACCGGCACCTTGCACCCCCAAACAAACCCCACCACCCCATCGGGACCCAGCCACACGCAGCAGGAAAGGCTCACAACCCTGCAGCCAGGCGACAAAATCCACAGAGACCTCTCCAACAGCTGGAGATTGCAGATGAAGTGCAGAAGGGGCCAGGGTGGCACTGGCAGCCCCAGCGTGGGCTCAGC